TTTTATCTCACCCTGTAAATCGGTCCACTCCTGGTGCCTCCCCCACAAAGGGTCAACATTTTGAATACCCACGAAGCTCAAAAAACCCAAAATTAACATCCGATTCCATTCAGACTTGGTACATGTCAATATTTCCATCAACACAAGATCTGTTTTAAAGATGGTAGAGATTCGACCTTTCCTTCTGGTACCTCCCCCACAAAGGGTCAAGATTTTAAATAACAAAAACGATCATAAAAGCCGAAATAAGCATCCGGTTCTCTTCAAATTACAAACATCACAACATTTTTATTAACCCAGGATCTGCTGTGAAAATGGGATGTATCGATACACTTCTTCTGGTAACTCCCCACAAAGAGTCAAAATTTTGAATATCCATGAAGCTTATAAAACGCAAAATTAACATCCGATTCCATTCAGACCTGGTATAGTTTAATATATCCATCAACACAAGATCTCCTATAAAGGTAGTAGAGATAGGACCATGTCTTCCTGTAGCTATCCCACAATGGGTCAGAGTTTTGAATGCGGAAACCATTATAAAATACGAAGAAGCATCCGGCTCTCTTCATATTTCACACATCCCATTAATTCTTCTAGCATAGGATCTGCTGTGAAAATGGGATATGTCGTTGCACTCCGTCTGGGGGTGGGGGGTCTGCTGTGAAAATGGGAAATATCGGCGCACTCTTTATTTCTCTATTTCCCCCACAAAGAGTTCAAAATTTGTAATATCCATGAAGATCATATAACACAATATTGACATCCGATTCGATTTAGACCTGGTACATCTTAATATTTCCATCAACACAAGATCTGCTATAAAGATGGTATAGATCGGAGCATTTCTTCTGGTACCTCCCCAACACAGGTTTTAAGATTTTGAACAACAAAACGCTGAAAGAAAGCGAAATAAGCATCCAACTCCCTTCAAATTTCACACAAACATGTTTGCTAACACAAGATCTGTTCTGAGGATGATATATACCTGCACCCCTCTTCTGATATCTCACCCACAAGGGGCCACAATTTTCAATACTTTATCTCTGGTAACTTGCGATTGCGTCAGTGATTTTTTTTATAAATTGTCACATATCTCAAAAAAATTGAAGGATGTAGCCGATATAGTCGAAACCTGGCACGTCGCAACATTTATATTATATTTATTTAGGTCCGATACGAAATGGAGAATATTGGTCTATTCCTTCGAAACCTACTCGATAGAGGGTCAACAATTTGAATAATCATAACAGAAGTCAAGATACATTTAAATAATCGAACATTGGCCGATGGTATTCAACTGTCGGTAAAACAGATACTTTTAACTTGTTTTCAAATTAATTCAATTACAACACATAAATTTCAAATGTAATATTTCAAAAAACCGACATTCATGTTTCATATTTTGGGTCTACTTTCAAAATCTATTCGGTTTTCGTTTTAATTATACTAAGAATCTTCAAGTATTTCATATGCCCGTTTAAGGTGCGGCAATCAACACCGAGAATATATATAAATTCATTTTATGTTAATAATTTACAAAATAGTGAACTTTGAAATCATAAAGATATTCGATGGTTAGTTTTAAAACAACAGACCCCTCTATGACCCTTGATAATTACTATCTAAGTTTTTTAGGGTACATAGGTGATGTGAATTGAGGGGGGACCAAAGGTATTTATCATCTGCCAGCAATTGCAGCGACAAACTAACCATACACACACACGCGTACTAACGAACTAACCAATTAGCCGACATCCAAACATCTATTCATTCTCTGCTCCATTCAACATCGTCAAATTGTCACAGCGTTGACAACAAATGCCAAGATTATGTCATAGACCCACAGAAAAGAGAGACGGAAAGATAATTGTAGATAATAAAGCGACAGAGTTTGGAATTGTTTTCGGTTGCAGTTTTTTTCTTTCATTTTTTCAATTAGTAGTCAATTACAGTTCATGAGATAATTTAATGACATTTTTCGAATGTCATTTGTCGTCGTGCTTTTTATTTAATCTTTTCTCTTTGCAAAGGAAAAAAATGCAACAAAAATTGCGTGGAAACAGTGTAGGAATATTATAATGTTATGGAGAGGTAGAAAATTCAAGACAGTCCTAAAGTGTCATATATAAGTCGTCCTAGGAAGAAAGACTATTAATATGCATTTCGTGCATCGAAAACCATCTAAAAACACTGATTATTTCGGTTGAGCATTTTAACCCTCAGGAGAATCAACAAAGGGGTTTTTTGGTTCTTTTTATATCCTTAGAGTGGGTATATATTATTTGATACGGTCAAAACGTGCCTAATCGAAATAACGGTTTTAGACCCTAGGTCCCTTTGGACTAAACTCGTTTCAGGGCATTTAGAGTTGATTTAGCGATGTCCACCCGTATGTCTGCTGCGCACAATAACTCTCGAAAGGAGTATCTGATTTGTTCCAAACTTGGTACATCGTAATATTTTTGTCAAACATAGATTGAGTTCAAAGATGGGCAATATCGGTCCACTCATTCTGGTACCTCCACCACAAAATGCCAACATTTTCAAAGAAAATAATTTACTGCACAGAAAGAGAAAGGTTAATCTGATTTTGCGCCAACTTTGCAAATCCTAATATTTGCATCAGTGCTAGGTCGCGTGCGAATATCGACAATATCAGTCCACTTCATCAAGTACCACCACCACAAAGGTTCTAAATTTTGAATAATTATAACTCTTATAAAGATGTAAGAGTCTTATGGTGTAGGAGTTCGATTGACTTCAAATTTCACACATCCCAATATTTATATTAACATAAGGTCTGGCGTTAAGATGGAATATATCGGTCTACCGCTTTTCGTACCTCCCCAGAAATGGTCGAAAATTTCAAAAAATATATATTCTGCACGAAAAGAGAAACGATAATCCGATTTTGTTCCAACTTTGCAAATCCTTATATTTGCATCAGTGCTAGGTCTGGTGCGACAATGGACAATACCGGGCCACTCCATCAAGTACCCTCCCCCCACAATGGGTCAAAATTTTGAATAATTACAACTTTTATAAAATGCTATGTAAGAGTCCGATTGTCTTCATGTTTCACACATCTTAATATTTTGAGGAACCCAAGATCTGGTATTAAGACGGAACATATCGGCCCACTTATTGTGGTACCTCCCCCACAAAGGGTCAACAAAACGCTCAAAGAAAGCGAAATAAGCATTCAAGTCTTTTCAAATTTCACACATGCAAACATTTTTTTCCAACACAAGATATGTTGTGAAGATGCTATATATCTGCGAACCCCCTCTGGTACCTCACCCTCAAAGGGTCACAATTCTTTTATCTGTCATAAATTGCAAAACAACTCAGCGATTCTTTACAACTTGCTATATCCATATATTTCTCTCAACCAGAAACCTGAGATGAATATGGAATTTATGATTTCCCATAAATTAGATATAAATGTTAGATTTTCTTATAATATTTTTATCTGTATTAGGTGAAGCATGAAAATGGAATATTTCCGTCGACTATATCTGGCTAAAATTGTCTAAAAATGATCACATATCTCATGTAAATTGAAGGAAGTTATCAATATAGTCCAAATCTGGCATCGCAATAGCAATATTTATATGATGGTGTGATAGTTATTTAGGTCTGATACGAAATGGACAATATTGGCCCATTATTTCAAAACCCACTCCATAGAGGATCAAGAGTTTGAATAATCATAACACAAATTAAAATATTTTTAAATAATCGAACATTGCCTTTTCTTGATGAAAATGCTTTAAAAAATCCAAGACTATTTAACCAAGAGTTCTTGATAAAAATTCATTAAAAAATCCACGTTCTTGATAAAAGTCCAAGAGTTCTTGGTAAAATTTTTTTTAAAGGAAAATTCACGTTTATTAGGCTCTTTAGAGATGGCTTTTAGAGATCCAGGTTTATTAGTCATTAGGTCCTTGAAAAAAATTCTGTAAAAAGATCCACGTTCATTAGGCATTAGGTCCTTGGAAAACATTCGTTAAAAAATCCACGTTTATTAGCTACTAGGTCCTTGGAAATTCTTTAAAAATATCCACGTTTATTAGTCATTAGGTCCTTGGAAAATTTTTTTAAAAAACCCAGGTTCATTACGCATTAGGTCCATGGAAAACATTCGTTAAAAAATCCACGTTTATTAGCTATTAGGTCCTTCGAAAAAAATCTTAAAAAAGATCCAGGTTTATTAGGTCCTTGGAAAAATTGTTTAAAAAAATCCACATATATTAGGCATTAGGTCCGAGGAAAAAATTCTTTAAAAATTCCAGGTTTATTAGGTATTAGGTCCTTGGAAAAATTGTTTAAAAAAATCCAGGTTTATTAGGCATTAGGTCCTTGAAAAAAATTCTTTAAAAAATCCAGGTTTATTAGGCTAATGGTCCTTGAAAAAAATTCGTTAAAAAATTCACGTTTATTAGCTATTAGGTCCTTGGAAAAAATTCGATAAAAATCCACCTTTATTAGCTATTAGGTCCTTGGGAATTCTTTAAAAAGATCCACGTTTATTAGGCATTAAGTCCTTGATAAAAATTCTTAAAAAATCCACGTTTATTAAGCATTAGGTCCTTGGAAAAAAATTCTTTAAAAAGATCAACGTTTATTAGGCATTAGGTTCTTGACAAAAATTCTTTAAAAATCCACGTTTATTTGATGGTTGATCCCTGAAAAAATTCTTTAAAAAATACACGTTTATATGTCTGTTGGTCTTTCGAAAAAATTCTTTAAAAAGTCCACGTTTACTTAATGATTGGCCCTTGATAACAATTCTTTAAAAAATCCACGTTTATATGTGGCTGTTGGTCCTTGATAAAAATTCTTTAAAAAATTCACGTTTATTTGATTGATAGTCCTTGATAAAATTTTTATAAAAATCTAAGCTTATTTACCTAATGGTCCTTAAAAACAATGTAAAAAATATTAAATGCACCAAGTGTATTTATAAAAAATTAAAATTCCACAACAACATTTAAAGTAAAACCACAACTAAAACTAACTAAAATCAAATTAAAAATAATTACAATCCAAATAAATATAAATTTGATTCTTTAATTTACATAAATCAATTAAAATGTGATTTACATATAAATAAATTAAAAAACAAAAAATTAAAATTAAGTAATAAAACAAAGCCTTCAGCAGAGGTAGTATTGGTATTCGATTCTCGAGATTAAATTCGATTCTTGTTAAATTCCAATCATTTGAAATTATTTCGAGCCCATGGAACTGAACAAGGCTGTCAAATAGAGATTCTGCATCTGAGAAAGTTCGGCATAGTCGGTATTTAAGATACTGGCCGGGGACCAAAATATGGCTGGATTATTTACAGGTTGAAGGGCTGGCTCACAGAAATAATCGATAAAATTTGAAGAACTATTCGAAGGAGTGGAAGCATATGGGTCCATCATGTTATTGAAAATGTTTAAATTTTCCGAATTGAAAAATTGTTCAGAATTTGATGAGTCCTTCATTCCAAGTCCTGACATACCACAAGCTGATGGAGGATCCACACCGCCCATAGAGCGTATCTTTTGATCATTCTTAATCCATCCCCTGAGGGTCGTTTCAGATACACCAATCGAACGAGATACGAGTGCTCTGCTCTCACCATTACGTACCCGCTGTATGGCATAAGCTTTGTCCGTGCAGGAGGAGGAGGCGGAGGCGGAATTTAGGAAAGGCAGAGGAGATGGGCCCACTGGACTATTAAAATTAGTAATGCTCTCTAAGCCACAGAATTTCTTTTCAGCCGGCTGTTGTTCAGGATTGGAGTCCGAAGCGGACATAATTGAATATTCCATACCATAGAAGGTGGAGGAGGATTCCTTTAATACAAAATTTGTCTGCTGCTGTTGCTGCCGACTCATAAAACGTAATTTTTGTTCATTTTTACACCACCCCCTTAGGGTGGATTCTGGGACACCAATCGAACGCGACACAGATGCCTTGGTCTCACCATTGCGTACCCGTTGAATGGCATAAACCTTGTCTGTGGCCGTCATATTGCGTGGTGGACGTTTGCCTCGTGAGCCAACCGACGGCATCAGTACTGCAGGTTTTGGAAGATCTTCCTCAACTGGCCGCAGGGTCAAATCCATTTTTGCATCTAAACAAAAAATATAAAAAATGATAAACAATGATCTAACAAATTATCCAGTGACATACGTACCTAATTTGTTAAGAATTTTTGAACACTTTTTTCTTCAATTTCAAAACTATTTCTAGTGGACTGGTGAGGGTGACGGCTGTTTGAATGGTATTTTCAATTTTTGTTTTTGACAAAAAAGTTGTCAGTTTTTTTTTTCTCTTCAAAAAAAAAGTAGTAGGCTCCGGCGCGGACAAAGTGAATGCGGAAGTGAGTTTTGGCATGGATTATATCAACTGCATAAATGTGGATTTTTTAAAGAATTTTTATCAAGGATCAACCATCGAATAAACGTGCATTTTTTAAAGAATCTTTATCAACGACCAACCATCAAAAAACGTGGATTTTTTAAAAAAAAATTTATCAAGGACTCTTAACCAAATAAACGTGGATTTTTTAAAGAATTTTTATCAACGACCAACCATCAAAAAAACGTGAATTTTTTAAAGAATTTTTATCAACGACCAACCATCAAAAAAAACGTGGATTTTTTAAAGAATTTTTTCCAAGGACCAACAGCTATCAAATAAACGTGGATTTTTTAAAAGAATTTTTATCAAGGACCAACCATCAAATAAACGTGGATTTTTTAAATAATTTTTTCCAAGGACCAACAGCTATCAAATAAACGTGGATTTTTTTAAAGAATTTTTATCAAGGACCAACCATCAAATAAACGTGGATTTTTTAAAGAATTTTTATAAGGACTCTCAACCAAATAAACGTAGATTTTTTAAAGAATATTTTCCAAGGACTCTCAACCAAATAAACGTAGATTTTTTAAAGAATATTTTCCAAGGACCATTAACCTAATAAACGTGGATTTTTTTAAAGTATTTTTTCCATGGATGGAATTTTTTCCAAACGTGGATTTTTTAAAGAATTTTTTTCAAGGATGGAATTTTTTCCAAACGTGGATTTTTTAAAGAATTTTTTCCAAGGATGGAATTTTTTCCAAACGTGGAATTTTTAAAGAATTTTTTCCAAGGATGGAATTTTTTCCAAACGTGGAATTTTTAAAGAATTTTTTCCAAGGATGGAATTTTTTCCAAACGTGGAATTTTTAAAGAAATTTTTCCAAGGATGGAATTTTTTCCAAACATATTTTTTAAAGAATTTTTATCAAGGACCAACAGCCATATAAACGTGGATTTTTTAAAGAATTTTTATCAAGGACCAACAGCCATATAAACGTGGATTTTTTAAAGAATTTTTATCAAGGACCAACAGCCATATAAACGTGGATTTTTTAAAGAATTTTTATCAAGGACCAACAGCCATATAAACGTGGATTATTTAAAGAATTTTTATCAAGGACCAACAGCCATATAAACGTGGATTTTTTAAAGAATTTTTATCAAGGACCAACAGCCATATAAACGTGGATTTTTTAAAGAATTTTTATCAAGGACCAACAGCCATATAAACGTGGATTTTTAAAAAAATTTTATCAAGGACCAACAGCCACATAAACGTGGATTTTTTAAAGAATTTTTATCAAGGACCAACAGCCATATAAACGTGGATTTTTTAAAAAAATTTTATCAAGGACCAACAGCCACATAAACGTGGATTTTTTAAAGAATTTTTATCAAGGACCAACAGCCACATAAACGTGGATTTTTTTAAATAATTTTGATCAAGGACCAACAACCACATAAACGTGGATTTTTTAAAGAATTTTTTCCAAGGACCAACAACCACATAAACGTGGATTTTTTAAAGAATTTTTATCAAGGACCAACCATCAAATAAACGTGGATTTTTTAAAGAATTTTTATCAAGGACCAACCATCAAATAAACGTGGATTTTTTAAAGAATTTTTATCAAGGACCAACCATCAAATAAACGTGGATTTTTTAAAGAATTTTTATCAAGGACCAACCATCAAATAAACGTGGATTTTTTAAAGAATTTTTATCAAGGTCCAACCATCAAATAAACGCGGATTTTTTAAAGAATTTTTATCAAGGACCAATCATTAAATAATCCCGGATTTTTTAAAGAATTTTTATCAAGGACCAATCATTAAATAACCCCAGATTTTTTAAAGAATTTTAATCAAGGACCAACCATCAAATAAACGTGGATTTTTTAAAGAATTTTTATCAAGGACCAACCATCAAATAAACGTGGATTTTTTAAAGAATTTTTATCAAGGACCAACCATCAAATAAACGTGGATTTTTTAAAGAATTTTTATCAAGGACCAACCATCAAATAAACGTGGATTTTTTAAAGAATTTTTATCAAGGACCAACCATCAAATAAACGTGGATTTTTTAAAGAATTTTTATCAAGGACCAACCATCAAATAAACGTGGATTTTTTAAAGAATTTTTATCAAGGACCAACCATCAAATAAACGTGGATTTTTTAAAGAATTTTTATCAAGGACCAACCATCAAATAAACGTGGATTTTTTAAAGAATTTTTATCAAGGACCAACCATCAAATAAACGTGGATTTTTTAAAGAATTTTTATCAAGGACCAACCATCAAATAAACGTGGATTTTTAAAGAATTTTTATCAAGGACCAACCATCAAATAAACGTGGATTTTTTAAAGAATTTTTATCAAGGACCAACCATCAAATAAACGTGGATTTTTTAAAGAATTTTTATCAAGGACCAACCATCAAATAAACGTGGATTTTTTAAAGAATTTTATCAAGGACCAACCATCAAATAAACGTGGATTTTTTAAAGAATTTTTATCAAGGACCAACACCCATATAAACGTGGATTTTTTAAAGAATTTTTATCAAGGACCAACAGCCATATAAACGTGGATTTTTTAAAGAAGTTTTATCAAGGACCAACAGCCATATAAACGTGGATTTTTTAAAGAATTTTTATCAAGGACCAACAGCCATATAAACGTGGATTTTTTAAAGAATTTTTATCAAGGACCAACAGCCATATAAACGTGGATTTTTTAAAGAATTTTTATCAAGGACCAACACCCATATAAACGTGGATTTTTTAAAGAATTTTATCAAGGACCAACAGCCATATAAACGTGGATTTTTTAAAGAAGTTTTATCAAGGACCAACAGCCATATAAACGTGGATTTTTTAAAGAATTTTTATCAAGGACCAACAGCCATATAAACGTGGATTTTTTAAAGAAGTTTTATCAAGGACCAACAGCCATATAAACGTGGATTTTTTAAAGAAGTTTTATCAAGGACCAACAGCCATATAAACGTGGATTTTTTAAAGAATTTTTATCAAGGACCAACAGCCATATAAACGTGGATTTTTTAAAGAATTTTTATCAAGGACCAACAGCCATATAAACGTGGATTTTTTAAAGAATTTTTATCAAGGACCAACAGCCATATAAACGTGGATTTTTTAAAGAATTTTTATCAAGGACCAACAGCCATATAAACGTGGATTTTTTAAAGAATTTTTATCAAGGACCAACAGCCATATAAACGTGGATTTTTTAAAGAATTTTATAAAGGACCAACCATCAAATAAACGTGGTTTTTTTAAAGAATTTTTATCAAGGACCAACAGCCATATAAACGTGGATTTTTTAAATAATTTTTATCAAGGACCAACCATCAAATAAACGTGGATTTTTTAAAGAATTTTTATCAAGGACCAACCATCAAATAAACGTGGATTTTTTAAAGAATTTTTATCAAGGACCAACAGCCATATAAACGTGGATTTTTTAAAGAATTTTTATCAAGGACCAACCATCAAATAAACGTGGATTTTTTAAAGAATTTTTATCAAGGACCAACCATCAAATAAACGTGGATTTTTTAAAGAATTTTTATCAAGGACCAACCATCAAATAAACGTGGATTTTTTAAAGAATTTTTATCAAGGACCAACCATCAAATAAACGTGGATTTTTTAAAGAATTTTTATCAAGGACCAACCATCAAATAAACGTGGATTTTTTAAAGAATTTTTATCAAGGACCAACAGCCATATAAACGTGGATTTTTTAAAGAATTTTTATCAAGGACCAACAGCCATATAAACGTGGATTTTTTAAAGAATTTTTATAAAGGACCAACCATCAAATAAACGTGGTTTTTTTAAAGAATTTTTATCAAGGACCAACAGCCATATAAACGTGGATTTTTTAAAGAATTTTTATCAAGGACCAACCATCAAATAAACGTGGATTTTTTAAAGAATTTTTATCAAGGACCAACCATCAAATAAACGTGGATTTTTTAAAGAATTTTTATCAAGGACCAACAGCCATATAAACGTGGATTTTTTAAAGAATTTTTATCAAGGACCAACAGCCATATAAACGTGGATTTTTTAAAGAATTTTTATAAAGGACCAACCATCAAATAAACGTGGATTTTTAAAGAATTTTTATCAAGGACCAACAGCCATATAAACGTGGATTTTTTAAAGAATTTTTATAAAGGACCAACCATCAAATAAACGTGGTTTTTTTAAAGAATTTTATCAAGGACCAACAGCCATATAAACGTGGATTTTTTAAAGAATTTTTATCAAGGACCAACCATCAAATAAACGTGGATTTTTTAAAGAATTTTTATCAAGGACCAACCATCAAATAAACGTGGATTTTTTAAAGAATTTTTATCAAGGACCAACAGCCATATAAACGTGGATTTTTTAAAGAATTTTTATCAAGGACCAACAGCCATATAAACGTGGATTTTTTAAAGAATTTTTATAAAGGACCAACCATCAAATAAACGTGGATTTTTTAAAGAATTTTTATCAAGGACCAACAGCCATATAAACGTGGATTTTTTAAAGAATTTTTATCAAGGACCAACAGCCATATAAACGTGGATTTTTTAAAGAATTTTTATAAAGGACCAACCATCAAATAAATGTGGATTTTTTAAAGAATTTTTATCAAGGACCAACAGCCATATAAACGTGGATTTTTTAAAGAATTTTTATCAAGGACCAACAGCCATATAAACGTGGATTTTTTAAAGAATTTTTATAAAGGACCAACCATCAAATAAACGTGGATTTTTTAAAGAATTTTTATCAAGGACCAACAGCCATATAAACGTGGATTTTTTAAAGAATTTTTATAAAGGACCAACCATCAAATAAACGTGGATTTTTTAAAGAATTTTTATCAAGGACCAACAGCCATATAAACGTGGATTTTTTAAAGAATTTTTATCAAGGACCAACAGCCATATAAACGTGGATTTTTTAAAGAATTTTTATAAAGGACCAACCATCAAATAAACGTGGATTTTTTAAAGAATTTTTATCAAGGGTTATCAACCAAATAAAGAAATGTTATCAAGTTTGGTTTTGTCATTTTTTTTACAACATCTGTACACATACTTATCCTCCAAAAATTATTCCTAAAAAAAACACATTTGTAATAATTTCTTTTTTTATAATTTATTACCAATTATTTTAAATACGTTTAATTTTACAGCTAGTTGATGCATTATGTGCGACTTAATGCTGATTTAAATTCTTTATAGATTTTATTGAAATATTTATTTTTTAATTTCTGTATTTTTTATGTAACACACAATGATTCGGAAACGGGTTTACAAAAAGTTCGGTTTTGTTTTTAAGAACAACATGTGGGGCGCGCCTCCTTAGAATTTTTCAAATATTTTTTTAATTAGCTTCGTTTCAATATGTTTTGCTATTGAAACCCACAAATATTTTAGATATTGGTGGTGACAAAACAAAATGGGACATTTTGGTCCGGAAAATCGAGTTCTGAATCACTGTGCGAGGAGAAATTTTAGAGGCAGAATAAATTATTCAAAACATTATCCATGTATTTATAATTCTGCATAAATTAAATAAATTTAGCTCTTGTTTTAAAACGGTCATTGTGTTAACATTTTAACAAGCCATCGAAATAAAATGTATTATGTTAATTTCAAAAAAAAAAATATTCAGAAAAAGTTAGATGACAATACATAAATACAGAATTTGTATTAAAAAATAACAAATAAAAATAAATTCATGCACATTGAAGAAAATTTTGCCTAGAATTTATAACGGCCACGAGAAAAGAATCAAATTATATAAAATCATTTTAGGAAATAGCTTATATTGTATTTCAGTATTTTTTTCAAAATTTCCACCTCATATCATAAATTGTAGGCTTTGGGATTAGATCATATATTTTGAATACAAAATTCATGATTATGTGAACCGCCATAGCGTCTGCAAAAGTCGTAAGGGCAAATTATTTAAAACACAAAAAAAAAGGAAAAACACATTTTGGTTTTGGACATTAATTCGGCAAAAATTGACATCCCATTACCAAGTAATGTACTAAAAATTGTTCATACATTACCGGTAAATAGTAAAATAATGGGTTATTGATTCAAAATTGCAACCGAAAATATCATATTTTTACCTAACAAGTAAAGAGTTGACGTCCCATTACCAAGTAATGTACAAAAAGACATTCATGCATTACCACTAAAGAGAAAATTAAAATTGCAATCGAAAATAACTTATTTTCCTCCTTACCAAGTAAAGAGTTACAGTTGGAACATGACCCAGTAAAAAATTGGTATCCACACGTGCCGCATAACAACTCATTACAAAGTAAGGTGAAAAATTGCAAAGATATTTTAAATTATGGAATAATTTTCTCAAGACTTTGCAATTCAGCCAAAGAATATGCAACGATAAACGGTTATTTTATTTTAGATTTTTAATCATTTTCTTGATAAAAAAAAATGCAAAATTCGGTATCCCATTACAGACGAATGTACAAAAAGACATTCATGCATTACCGGTAATAAGAAAAATAATGGGTTATAAATTCAAAATTGTGGGTTATAAATCCAAAATAATTTATTTTTCTCCTTACAAGTAAAGAATTGACATCCCATTACAAAGTAGTGTACAAAAAGGCATTCATGCATTCCCAGTAAAGAGAAAAATAATGGGTTATCTTTTCAAAATCGCAATCGAAAATAACTTATTTTTCTCCTTACAAGTAAGTACGAGTTACAGTTGGAATCTGGCCCCGTAAAAAATTTATAGCTACATGAGCTGCACAACAACTCATTACAAGGTAAGGTAAAAGATAGCAAGACATTTTAAATTTTGACAATGTCAAGAAATTTTTTATTCTGTAGTTAATTATTTTATTAATGCCCAGCAAAATTTGGTATTCCATTACCAAGTAGTGTACAAAGAATCGTTCATGCATTACCAGTAATTAGAAGTGGAATGGTTTATCTATTCAAAATATCAATCTTAACTTATTTCTCTCCTTATATATTCGATTTTTGGATTATCATTTCGGGGAGTTTTATTTTCACCCCTAAAATATGCAACAATAAACACATAATTTAATTTCAGATTTTTCGTTATTTTATTTATACCCCGAAAAAATTGAAAATCGATATTATTCAACCTACCAATCGACAAATTAATATTGAAAACTTCACACGTCGATATTGGATTTAAAATTCAAAATCCTAAATCAATTTCTAGTCGACAAAATCGATATTAAACCTGGGCAAACGAAAATGTAATATTAACTCATTACTTGGTAATGGGATTGTTTGCTGGGTAGATGGATATTTTTGGATGTATTTTCCTCTTACGAAGTCGAAAGGGACTTTTCGGCCAATAAAATTGCAGCATTAACTGATTATTTGGTAATGAGACCAACAAAAATACAATATTAAATTATTATTTAATAATGGAGCAAATAAACATGCAACATTAACTCATTACTTGGTAATGGGATTGTTTCCTGGGTAGGTGGAGATTTTTTAATGAATTTTCCTTCATCGAAATAATTTTTAAATACCTCTTCGAATCGACAAAATCGGTGCTCAACCTCGGCAAACAAAAGTGCCATATTAACTCATTATTTGGTAATGGGGAAAATAAGAATATCGTAGTAACTCCTTATTTGGTAATGAGGCAACCAAAAATTCAATTTTTACTCATTATTTATTGATGAGATTGTTTGCTGGGTAGGTGGACATTTTTGAGTGTAATTTCCTCCTCCTAAATATTTTGTTAAGTCCCTCTTACGAAATCGACTTCGATTTTTGTCGACATTGAGTAGTCAAAATCCTTAATCGTGTAATCTTAACTCTTTATTTGGTAATGAGACAAACTAAAATGTCATATTAACTCTATATTTGGTAATGAAATGCAATTTTAGATCATTATTTGGTAATGAGGTAAAACAAAAGTGCCATATTAACACCTTACTTGGTAATGAGATTGGTTTCCGGGATGGTGAGGCAAAGTAAAATGCCATATTAACTCCATATTTGGTAATGAGACAAATATTAACACATTACTTGGTAATGAGATTATTTGCTGGGAAGGTGTTCATTTTTGATTGTGATGTTCTTCCTCTAAATAATTTTCACCTACGACTTTTGCACACTTTGTAGACATTACATATTGTTTTATTGCGATTATAAAATAATTAATGGCCTATTTCCCTTTTAAACATTACAATCCCTCGATTGATAAAACAGAATATAACCCGTTTCCGATGATTTCTGGATATCCGAGGTGAGGCCATAAAAATCTTCAATGGTCGAAGCCTCAATCTTATCGACCATATCATCGTCGAAGAGCAACCACAGACCATGACTCTTGACAATGCTAATGTAATGGCCACGATTCGGTCCCGAACCGCAATGGATGACCACAGCCATAAGATCATATAGGCGATCCGGATTCACAGCATCATCTGAGGTGTTGAACAGCCTCAGTTCCAGGGGAAAGACCACACGATGTGAGACCTTGATGTGACGATTGAATTGTTCCATGTATTTGAAGCGTTTCAGATGCAGGGCCAAAATCATTGGCAACTTTTTGACACGCATACGCTTTTGAGCCTCTTGATAGCTGCAACAGTTGTCGCATTTGAATTTATTGTCCGAACAGAGGGTTTCGGTGTTGCTGAAGCACCGCAGACAATGGGTGATTGAGGTATTCTGGTCGACATCCACCTGGAGATCGAAGAAATGTTCATCCTTGCTGCTGACCGTTTCACAGTTGAGGCAACGCGTCTCCGAGGTGAGAGTTCCCTGGAATATCTCATGGACCCAGGTGGGCTCGCTGTTGGCCGGACTGCCACCGCCCTGGGTGGGGGTGGTGGCATCGGAGATGCCAATACCAATGCCGTTTATGGAGCCCGTTGAATTTGAGCAAGTACCATTGGTCGAGGAGTTGGAGACCGTGGTTGAGGTCGAGGTGGTCGATGAGGATTTGGTGGCTGCCGCTGCCGTACCAGCCGACGATGTGGCATTGCCTCCACCTCCACCACTTTTGCTGGCATTACGCTCGGCCAATATGATTTCATTGATGTGATTGATGAGAAAATTCAAAAATTCATGGGCATCCTGTTGCATGTAGTTGTCGAACTCCTCCTTCTCCTTGCGCAGGCGGGCAATGAACTTTTTGGGGGCAATGGAGCCAACCTTTTTCTTTTGCGTGGCAATGTTGTAGAAAAGATCCGCCAAACAGGATAAAAGGGTTTCTTTGGGTCTCTTATTTTTGGCCTTGTACTCCAACACCTTGTCACGAAATGGCTTGCAAAAATACAGGGCCTGCAACACGGAATTGCTGTAGCAGGTGTTGCCGAAATTCACCAGACCAAAGTAGTGCTCATTGGGTGGAAAGAGATCGGAACCGATTTCCTTTTCCAGCTGTGAAACATTGGCGCCCATTTTTCCTTTTTTATTGCCACCACCACCACTGATGCAAGACTTCAATGTGACGGCTTTGAGATTCTTTTGCAAGGGAGAAATTTCAACACCACCACCGCAGACTCTGAAGATTTTTCTGTTTCACTTCTTTTTGTTTATCTTAAAAACTCATTTCATTTTCCAACTTTTTCAATTTTCTCTCTTCTCTGCAAATATAAAAAAGAAACCAAAAAAGGAAAAAAGAAAAATTGAAGAGGGGAGTGTCAGTAAAGGCAAAGTATTTTTTTCAATAGATTGTTTCAAAATCTCAATATTTTATTTGAGTCAAATAAAATATTTGCAATTTTAAAAACGAAAATTTCAAACTTTATTTTCCCCTCTCCAATCATAAATTGCAATTTTTTTTCTTTTTGGTTTTATTTGAAAAATGAAAAAGTTTTCCAATGAGTCTTTAGATTTTTTTCTCGTTTTTCTTATCAGCATTTCAATTCAATATTTCACATTTCGTTCAATTCAATTCTTTATTTCCAAATGACCACAACAAATACTAATAAAGAAGAAGACATTTTTATGATATCCGGTTAAAAAAATGTAGATGACTTTTCTTTTTTTTTTTGTAAACAAACAAATAAGGAGAAGGAAGAATAAGGTTTTTTTATTGTTTGTAATAAAAAAGCAGAAACAGAAAATATTTATTATATATAAATTATTATTAACTTATTCTATATGCAGAATTACAAGAATCGTGAGATGTAATAACATTTCGGTCTCTAAGCATAACAAATATTAAAAAAATACAATACAGGCTACAGAGGGTATATATTATTTGATACGGCCAAAACGTGCCTCATCGAAATAACGGTTGTAGGTCTCTTTGGACCAAATCCGTTTCAGGCCATTTGGAGTCGATCTAGAGGTGTATGTCCGTCTGTCTGGCTGGCTGGTGAGCACGTTAACTCTCGAATGTAGTATTCGATTTAGCTCAAACTTGGTACAACGTAATATTATTAACAAACTTATATCGAGTTCAGAGATGGGCAATATCAGTCTACTGCTTCTGATACCTCCCACACAAAAAATCGAAATTTTCAAAAAAAAAAAAAAAAAATATTTTACTGCACAAGAAAGGATACTCCGATAATTGCGTTGCGGTGCTAGTTCACTCTACCACTCCATTAAGTAACTCTCCCACAGAGGGTCAAAATTGTGAATTAGGGAAATCATTCCGGCAAGCCCCTAAGTTGTACCATAACCTTGTACTAAAGTGTTTTCCAGAGCGAATGAAAGCCACGTTCTTCTATGGGTTCTTCACATATTACAACGTTTTTCATTTAAAAAATTATGCAGCCCCATATTGGGCGCCACATTGTGATTTATAAGTTTGATCCGTTATTTTTCCCATCACGACTATAATTTTTTGATATATTTTTTTTATTTAAAAAATAAACACGTTGGGCGCCATACAATGTGGAAGGATTCGGGTTTCCCAGCCAAATTAAATATAAAAAATAATTCAATTTGTATCTCAAAAAAAAAAAATTAATTTTTGTTGAATTTTTTTTTAATTTTTGTTGTTTTTTTTTTTGTTTATTTTTTAAATTTGTTTGTTATTATTTTTTTTTAAATGTTTTTCAACTTTTATGCATTTTTTATACCCTTAGCCATATGGAGAGAGAGGGAAGTTATATATCATTTAATACGGCCAAAACTTGCCTCTTCGAAATAATGGTTTTAGAACCTAGGTCTCTTTCCACCAAATCTGTTACTGGATATTGCCCGTGTGTCAATCTGGCTTTCTGGCTGGTGCGCACGATAACGCTCCGATTTGATTCACACTTGGTACATCGTAATATTATTATCAAAAAACTAAGATCGAGTTCGAAGATGGATCGATCCACATCTTCTGGTACCTCCTCCACAAAAGATCGAAATTTTCAAAGAAAATATTTCACCGCACAGAAAGAGAAAGGATCATCAGCTTGTGCTCGAACTTTGCACATCCTAATATTTGCATCAGTGCTAGGTCAGGTGCAAAAATGGACAATATCGGTCCACTCCATCCAGTACGTCCCCCACAAAGGGTCAAAATTTTTAATAATAAAATGTTAAGAGACCGATTGTCTTCAAATTACACACATCACAATATTTTTATTAACCCAAGGTCTGGTGTAAAGATGAGATATATCGTTCCACTCCTTCTGGTTCCTCCCCCATAAAAGGGTAAATAATTTTGAATAGCCATGAAGTTCATAAAACGTGAAATTAACATCCGATTCAATTTAGACTTGGCATATCTCAATATTTTTTATCAACACAAGATCTTTTATAAAGATGGTAGAGATCGGATCATTTCTTCTGGTACCTCCCCCACAAAAGGTCGAAGTTTTGAATAACCCAAAACGATAATAAAAGCCGAATCTGGTTCTATTCATATTTCACACATTATAATATTTTTAATAACCCAAAGTCTGGTGTAAAGATGGAATATATCGGTCCATTCCTTCTGGTACCTCCCCCACAAAGGGTCAAAATTTTGAATATCCATGAAGCTCATAAAACATGCAATTAACATCCGATTCCATTCAGACTTGGTACATCTAAACATTTCCATTAACACAATATCTCTTATATAGATTGTAGAGATCGGACCATTTCTTCTCTTACCTCCCCCACATAAGTTTCATGATTTTGGAAAAGCGAAATAGGCGTCCAACTCTCTTCACATTTTTCACATATACAAAGATTTTTGTTAAGACAAAATTTGTTGTCAAGATGATCTATATCTGCGAACCCCTTTTGGTACCTCATCCATATAGGGTCAGTCACAATTTCCAAAACATACATTTGTCATAACTTTCGAAATAAGTCGACGATTCTATAAAACTTGCCTGAAATCTGATATGAATATGTAGTAATTAATCGGAATTTTTGATTTCGTATAAAATTTGATATAAATGGTAGATTTTCTTGTAATTTTGAACAAACCAATATTTGTATCTGTATGAGAAGAAGTGGAATATTTTGGTCCGCTATATCTGTTACCTCACGCATGTTACCACATTTTCTCAAAACTTCATGCACATATCTCATAAAAAGTATAGGAAGTAGACGATATAGTCCAAATATGGCACGTTGTAATATTTATATCAGTCTTTGGTCAGATACGAATTGGACAATATTGGCCTGACTGCTTCGGAACCTTCTCGGTATGAGGCCAACAGAGTGAATGTAGGACTGGGATGTGGAGGTAATTTTCGAAATTTGTACTCATGTCTACGTCAAGCACTAGAATGGTCTTAATTTTTTTAATATTTCGATTTGGGCGAACCAATAGAGATGAAATGCTGAAATTGGGAAATAAGATTACTATGGCATTGTACGATTGGGTCACAATTGTCAATACTTATATCTGCCTATCCGCTATTTCTAAATATTTCTCTCAACCAGAAACCTGCGATTAATATAGAATTTATTTTTATCTGTATTAGATCAAGAGGAAAAGTGAAATACTCGGTCGACTATATATGGTACCTCACAGCATAACTTTACATTTTCTAAAAATTATCACATATCTCATATAAAGTGAGGTCCGATACAAAATGGACAATATTGTCCCATTCTTTCGGAACTTACTCCATAGAGGGTCAACAATTTGAATAATCATAACACAAGTTAAAATATGTTAAAATAATCGAACATTAGGTGAGGGTATAAATCTCTCGTATAAACATTCATTCACTGATACCCTATTTTATTATTTATTTATTTATTTATTTTTTTTTTTTTTTTTTTTTTTGTATAGAACAAACTTTATCCAACAAGTGATTCCAATGTTCTGCCATTAATATCTTGTTCCATTGGAATACCATGAGCCACGTTTTCCGGTAGTACCGGCTCTTCCACTTTAACAGGTGGTGCCTCGTAATGATAACCATCATGGTTTACTTTATATACCGGATTATGTCCCTGGTAATGATAACCATCATGGTTTACTCTATACACAGGTTTATGTCCTGGGTTAATGATTATAAAATGATTTACATATTTATTGCCAAAATAACTAGAAATTATACAAAAAAAAAATTATTCGAGTTTCGTAGAAGAAGGAGAAGAAATATATTTACTTATATCCTTTTATTGAGGCAGTTTGTGCTGCCGGGACCAATGCTATTGCCACTGCCAATGCCACAGCCAAAACGAAGAACGCCTAAAAAATTAGAAAAAAAAAATTTGCCTGATTCTGATTTTGATATACAGTGTTAGAATATAAGTAGATTACTTTCAGAATCATGCTGTGATGCTATCTATTCCCGTTTTACAACACTACTGATTGTTGGCATTCCGAATCAGTATCATTTAAAGTCTAATTTGACAGAACTCTTCACAAATCTACAGGTTTTGGATTATTAACCGACCTCATATCGAATGTGGAATTAACAAACAAATGTTTTAATTTATTCATGACCTACTTTTGCTACCTACGTATTTTTGGTCATCCAGCACCCCATTCGTAGACATGTTAATCAGACCTATTAAGTTGTTCCTCTTAACAATTTCTTTAGAAAATTTCATAATAAAAGTGTCAAACATTTTCAATATTTTTTAATCTATTTTTATGAGCAAATGCTAACAATGTTATCTTTATTTTACTTTAATTCAATAGGCTTTTTTGGTCGGATGTATTGATGAATGAAAAAATATTTAATTTAAATTTTAAATGTTGCAAATTTATATTTTAGAAATGTTTAAATAGCGATGGAAAGAATTGCGGATTTACTTCGGCCTAAAAATTACTTTTTTTTGTCCATCTTAGATACTGCAAGAACAAGTTAGAAAGCTTCAGTATTTGACCATCTATTTGTGTATACCTTTCTGGGAACCATATTAGTAATTTATCAGAAGAGAACGTTTGTAGAAATAATGCAGCAGGGACCGACCGAGATTTTTTAGGAACATACAATTTTGATGTCCTATTATGGGCGAGGATGAGAAGGGCGTAACCCAAATTATCCAATTCCACACCTCAGTTTAGGTTATCTTAACAGAATATTTGTATGAATAATGCAGCAGGGACAGACAGGGGAAAAATATTATATTTTGCACATAGAAGTTTGTTGACATAATCTGGACGAGGATGAGAAGGAGGTAGGCCAATTTGTCCAATTCCACACCTAAGTTTAGGTTAATATAATTATAAATGTGCCAAGTGTGGATGAAATTTGGTACGCCCCTCCAGATTTATATATATATATATATATATATATATATATATATATATATATATATATATATATATATATATATATATATATATATATATATATATATATATATATATATATATATATATATATATATATATATGCAATTTCGAAAAACCCAGCCTTGTATCAACCCAACAGACCCCAAAATCGACCTACATGCAGAATTACAAGATTCTAGCTTTATCCGTTTCGACTGATGGATTTCTTTCATATATATAGGTATATAAAACTGGTAAAAATAAATACTTTTCCCTGTCGGTCCCTGCTGCATTAATTTCTACAAACATTCTGTTACGAAAAAATATTAATAAATATATGGTCATTGCTGAGCATATATATGGCGGTCGAATACCCGCCTGAAGCTTTCTAACTTGTTCTTGTAGTACCTAAAACTTTCTATCGTTATTTAAAATTTTTATAAAAACAAGGTTTGTTTATTAGTGGAGAACGATGGTAATGTTTACCAGGGGGTAAGACAGGGAATACCTAGGTTTCGAAAAGAGCCACCAATCACCATCAGTTCACTTGTTTTTTTTTTTGTCTGGGATATTCTTCCCAATAGTTATTTTAAAAATAACTTCTATGACAAAAAACATTTTTTATTATTTAAAATTTTTAAAGTATAAATTTGCAAAATTTAAAATTTAAATTAAAAATTAGTTTCATACATCAATACATCCGACCAAAAAAAAAACATGAAATTAAAATATAAGCAAAGATAAGCATATGCTTATAAAAATAGATTAAAAATATCGAAAAAGGTTTGGCACTTTTATTATGAAATTTTCTAAAGAAATTGTTAGGAGGAACAACTTAATGGGCCTGATTAGCATGTCTATAAATGGGGTGCTGGGTGAAACACCAAACATCAAAAAACCATGTAGAGAGCAAAATTAGATCATGAATAAATTACAGCCGATGTGTTTTAATTCCACATTCGATATGAGGTCGATTAATAATCCAAAACCTGTAGATTTGTGAAGAGTTCTGTCAAATTAGACTTTAAAAGATTCGAATTCGGGATGCCAACAATCAGTAGTATTGTAAAACGGGAATAGATAGCATCACAACATGATTCTTAAAGTAATCTACTTATATTCAGACAGTGTATATCAAAATCAGAATTAGGCAATTTTTTTTTTAATTTTTCAGGCGTTCTTCATTTTTGCTGTGGCATTGGCAGTGGCAATAGCATTGGTCCCGGCAGCAGAAACTGCCTCAGTAAAAGGATATAAGTAAATATATTTCGTCTCCGTCTTCTATGAAATTTAAATAATTTTGTTTTTTTATTTCATTTCTAGTTATTTTGGCAATAAATATGGAAATAATTTAAAAATCATTTACCTAAGACATAAACCTGTGTATAAAGTAAACCATTATCATTACCAAGGACATAAACCGGTGTATAAAGTAAACCATGATGGTTATCATTACGAGGCGCCACCTGTACAAGTGGAAGAGCCGGTACTACCGGAAAACGTGGCTCACTTTCCTCCACCTGAACCAAGTCTTAATCCGGACACTTTGCGTTCATGTGTTGGATAAAGTTTGTCCTGAATATCATTTTTCTATAGAAAAAAATAATAAATAAATAAGTAATAAATTAAAGTAAAAACTGAATATTTACTTTTGGGCATTTGGAAAACCTTTCAATGATAATGGCTCTTTCAAGAAGAGCTATTACATTTTTCGAATCAGTGATTGAATGCTTATCTACTCGTATATATATCAAAAAAACGTGAAATAATTGACTGACTGATTGAGAACTCATGAAACCCAGATGAAACGCTTCGTACGAAAAGTACTAAAATGTACTTAAAATTGAAAATTCTGTATTGAAGAAACGGAATGCGCTGAAATTGTGAAGTTTGGAATGAGTCACTGATGCAAGTGCAGGATAGATATACAAAAGGGTTTTTTGAAAATCCAACTTGAAGGTTACGTAAGTTTCTAAATCAGTACCAAAACTTCTTATATATGGTACCATTCGGTATTATGTGAACGGAAGGAGCTAAAAACTAGAAATTTGGAATGGGAATCCAAGTTGAGGAGTAGGTGCTACGTTTTGGAATGTATACGAAAAGTACTAAACGGTACTGGAGCTGATACTGGACGGACATTACTGCTTTGTTGTGGGATTGGAATATACAAAATTAGTTTTCGAAATTTGGACATGAAAAGTACTAGAATGGTACTAAATTTGGTACAATTTCAGTTTGGGTGAACCGATTGTGTTAGCAAAAATGTTTGTATTTGTGAAATTTAAAGAGAGTTGGTTGTCAATTTCACTTTCTTTGAGCGTCATGTAAATCTTGAACCCTATTTGGGGGAGATACCAGAAGAAATGGCTCGATTTCTACCATGCTTATAACAGATCTTGTGTTGATGGAAATATTGAGGTGCACCAATTCTGAATGGAAGCGGATCTTAATTTTGCGTTTTATGAGCTTCATGAATGTTCCAAATGTTGATCCTTTATGGGGGAGGTACCACAAGGTGTGGACCGATATATGCCATCTTCACAGCAGATCTTGTGTTACTGAAAAAATGGAATGTGTGAAATATGAAGAGAACCTGATTTTGAAAAATTTTGAACTTTTGTTAGGGAGATACCAGAAAAACTGGTCCGATCTCTACCATTTTTTTAAACAGATCTTGTGTTGATGGAAATATTGAAACGTGCCAAGTCTGCATGGAATCGGATGTTAATTTCACGCTATATGATCTTCGTGGATATACAAAATTTTGACCCATTGTGGGGGAGGTACCGATACTAGTGGACCGATATATTTCATCTTCACGCCAGACCTTGCAAAGTTGGGGGATTAAGATTTGCAAAAGAATCGGATTTCTTTTTCTGTGTAGCATTTTTTTTTTTTTTTTTTTTTTTTTTTTGAAAATTTCTAACTTTTTTTGGGGGAGGTACCAGAATGAGAGGACCAACCGATATATTCCATTTTCACAGCAGATCTTGTGTTGGTAAAAATAATGGGATATGTGAAATATGAAGAGAACCGCAGATACTTATTTCGGATTTTATAATCGTTTTGGTTATTCAAAACTTTGACCGTTTGTGGGTGAAGGAATGTTCCGATCTCTACAATCTTTATAGCAAATTTTGTGTTAATAGAAATATTAAAATGTGCCAAGTCTGAATGGATTTGGATGTTAATTTCACGTTTTAGGAGCTTCATGGATACTCTAAATTTTGACCCTTTATGGGGGAGGTACCAAAAGGAGTGGACCGATATATTCCATCTTCACATTAGACCTTGGGTTAATAAAAATATTGCGATCTGTGAAATTTGAAGACAATCGGATTCTTACATCTATTTTTTTAAGATTTATAGTTATTCAAAATGTTGACCCGTTGAGGAGGAGGAACTTGATGGAGTGAACCGATATCGTCCATTTTTGCACCTGACATAGCACGGGTGCAAATATTAGGATTTGCAAAGTTGGAGCAAAATCGGATTATCCTTTTTCTTTCTGTGCAGTAAAATATTTTTTTTTAGAAAATCTCGACCTTTTGTGGGGTAGGTACTAGAATGAGTGGACCGATATTGTCCATCTACTAATTCTATCTAAGTTTGATAATAATATTACAATGTACCAAGTTTGGACCAAATCGGATACTCCCGTCGAGAGTTATCGTGTGCACCAGCCAGCCAAACGGACGGACGGACGGACGAACATCGCTAGATCGACTCCAAATATCCTGAAACGGATTTGGTCCAAAGAGACCTAGGGTCTAAAACCGTTATTTCGCTGAGGCACGTTTTGGCCGTATCAAATGATATATACCCTCCACTCTAGCCCCAGCCATATGGCTGAGGGCATAAAAATCGCGAATTTATTTCCACATTTCTTGATACATTTTTCCTCGGTCTTTTTTCATTTGAGGCGGATTTTAGGCAATAGCAAGAATATTCTTCACAAAGTTTCACTATAAATCTCAAAATAAGCCATATATCTAAGTTCAATAGTCTCTAAGAAAATAACATTCGAAATTTTGATACTTTAAGTGGATGGGCATGAGCAGAATGTCATTCATATTTTCAAGAATCGATGTACTCTTTTGGGGTATTCAAAAAATTAAACTCAATATAACCCCCCTCCCTTCTTCCATACCGTGGCGGAAAAGTTTAAAAACTTCAAACCGGACATTGGTGTATTGCAGCAAATAACGACAAACTAAAAAATGTTATCTCTTCCCTTCAAACTTACCTTGTTCCGATTAATTCCGTTTTCCTTTGCTTGCGAATTAAGGAAGTTGAAGATTTCTCCGGCCTGGTTGGCACAAAACAAATCCGTGTGTGTGTTGATGTTCTGGAGCGTTCTAACGATGTTTGGGCATAAATTTTCGTACACCAATTGTGAGAGTGAGAGAAAACTAATGAATTTCTATAATTAGGGAGCGTAGGGGGTGGGGGAAAGATTTCCAAAAATTGTTGTTGATGACGTCCGTCGTCCCTTCGAAATCAAACAGAATTTGTAATGCCGTTGATTTCAAAAAAAAAATTCCAAAATTTCCAAAAATAGGAGGTTGAAAGTTTTAAAAACTTCAAGATACGTTTAACGTATACACAAAAGATAAGGGGTGGTACGGGAGGTTATGACGTTGAGGGCGCGATGCGGGAATAGATAATGTCATAAATCGCCGATGATTTGGAAGAATTTCTGTTGTTTTGTTTTTTTCAGCTTCAGCTTATAGAAATCTTAGTTTTGTAGTTGTTGTTGTTGTTGATGATACTGGTGTGATGATGTAGAATTTCGGGATTTTTAGTTATGCCTGCAAAGAGAGAGAGAGAGGAGAGAGAGAGGGAGAGAATTAAAACTATGACTTCAAGTAGTCAATGAAATTAGGTAATATTTTTATTAAAAGCCCCAATGGCAATGAGCGTAAATCCGTTAGAGCGCCGGCAATTAATTCAATTAAAGAAATAAATTATGCAAAAAAATGGAGGGTTTGCGATGGACTAACAGGGTGGAACTAACATTTTAGGAAAATCAAGTAACTACAGAAATATGCCGAAAGTTTTACAGAAACATGAAATTATCCACAAAAGTTATATTTGAGCTACTCAAACTGGAGAAACAGTTTATTGACGGTTGGTAGCTGGATAGCCTGAATAAAGTATCTGACATATCCAAAATGAGCGGATAATATATCTGAGTTATCCATATTCTATATATGACGTATATAAATTATCCAGAATTCCCGGATAAAATATCTGAGTTATAAAGAGTGTGCGAATAAAGTTTCTGAGCTATCGAGAATACGTAGATAAAGTATCTGACATACTGAAAGTGAGTGGATAATGTATCTGAGTTATCCAGATTGTATGGATAACGAATCTGAGTTATACAGGGTCCCTGTATAAAATATATGGCTTTTCTACAGTTCACGGAGTTATCCAGAATGCCTGAATAAAGTATCTGAATTATCCAGAGTATGTGTATAAAGTATCTGACTCGTCCAAAGTTGGTGGATAATGTATCGGAGTTAACTGGAGTATATTGAGAAAGTATCTGACTTATTAAAGGGAGTGGATAATGTATCTGAGTTATCCAGAAGGCGTGAATATCTGTATCTGAAGTAAAGAGAGAGCATGGATAATGTATCTGAGTTATCCAGAGTGGACGGATAACGTATCTAAGCTATCAAGAATGCGTGAATGAAGTATCTGAGTTATCCAGATTAGGTGGATATAGTATCTGACTTATCCGAAGTAAGTGAATAATGTATCTGAGATATCTAGAGTGTATGGATAAAGTATCTGAGTTATCCAGAGCATGTGGATAATGTACCTGAGTTACCCAGAGTATGTGGATAAAGTATCTGACTTATCCAGAGTTCACGGATAACGTATCTGAGTTGTACAGAATGTGTGAATACAGTATCTGAGTTATACAGAGTACGTGGATAAAGTATCTGTCTTATCCAAAGTTAGTGGATTATGTATCAGAGTTATCTGGAGTATATTGATAAAGTATCTGACCTATCCAAAGTGAGTGGATAAGGGATCTGAGTTATCCAGAAGGCGTGAATTAAGTATCTGAAGTATACAGAGAGCATGGATAATGTATCTGAGTTATCCAGATTAGGTGGATATAGTATCTGACTTATCCAAAGTAGGTGGATAATGTATCCGAGATATCTAGATTGTATCGATAACGTATCTAAGTTGCGCGGATAATATATCTGAGTTATCCAGAGTTCAGGAAAAAGTACCTGAGTTATACAGAATGCGCAAATAAATTATGATTTATCCAGAGCATGTGGATATAGTACCTGACTTATCCGAAATGAGTGGATAATGTATCTGAGTTATCCAGAATATGTGGATAACATATCTTAGTTATCAAGAGCGCATGGATAACGTGCCTGAGTTATCCAAAGAGGTGGATAATGTATCTTAGTTATCCATATTGCATGGATAACGTATCTGAATTATCCAGAGTTCACGGATAATACATCTGAGATATTCAGGCTGCGTGAATAAATTATATGAATTAGCCAGAATTCACGGATAAAGTATCTAAGTTATCCAGAGTTTACGGATAAAGTATCTGAGTTATCCAGAGTGCACGGATAACGTATCTGAGTTATCAAGAATGCGTGAATGAAGTATCTGAGTTATCCAGAATAGGTGTATAAGTATCTGACATATCCAAAGTAGGTGGATAATGTATCTGAGATATCTAGATTGTATGGATAACGTATCTAAGTTGCGCGGATAATATATCTGAGTTATCCATATTGCATGGATAACGTATCTGAATTATCCAGAGTTCACGGATAAAGTGCCTGAGTTATACAGAATGCATAAATAAATTATGAGTTATCCAGAGTATGTGGATATAGTACCTGATTTATACAAAATGAGTGGATAATGTATCTGAGTTATCCATATTGCATGGATAACGTATCTGAATTATCCAGAGTTCACGGATAATGTATCTGAGTTATTCAGGCTGCGTGAATAAATTATCTGAATTAACCAGGATTCACGGACAATGTATCTGAGTTATACAAACTTTACGGATAACGTATCTGAATTATCCAGAGTTTACGGATAAAGTATCTGAGTTATCCAGACTTCTTAAAGAAAGTATCTGAGTTATCCACAGTACGTGGATAACTTATCTGAATCATCCAGAGTACGTGGATAAAGTATCTGACTCATTCAAAGTGGGTATCTGAGTGTATCTGAGTTATCCAGAGTGCATGGATAATGTGTCCGAGCTATCCCCAGTTTACGGATAATGTATCTGAGTTATCTAGACTTCTTAAAGAAAGTATCTGAGTTATCCGGAGTGAGGAGATAAGATATTTGAATTATCCCGAGTGCACGGATAACGTATCTGAGTTATCCAAAATTCTTGAAAAAGTATCTGAATTATTCCTAGTGCACGGATAACGTATCTGAGCTATCTAAAGTTTGTGGAGAATGTATCTGAGTAATCAAGAGTGCTCTGGATAACTTAGATATATTATCCACGATGTATCTAAGTCATCCACAGCACTTGGATATTGTATCTGACTTATCCAAAGTTTGTGGATAATGTATCTGACTTTTCCAAAGTTTGCCGATAATGTATCTGACTTATCCAAACGATTGGGTAATGTATTTGAGTTATCCAGAACACCTGAATAAGGTATCTGAGAGTAAATTAACAAACTTGTGGATAAAAACGTAGATAGATAAATCTAAATCTAAAAGCGAACCGGTCTTCTGATATCGACGTTATCCAAAATGTGTGGATAAAGTATCTGTGTTGCCTTAAAGAGGGGATGAGTATCTATGTTATTCAAAAATGAGAGTTATCCAAAGGAGCATATGAAAATTTGAGAAGAAATCTAGATTATCCTTAAAAACTTGAATACGAATTTTAGTTATCCCAAAACAGCGGATAAAATATTAACCAAAAGTGAACCTTTTATCCATGTTATCCAAAATGTGTGGATAAAGTTTCTCAGTTCGCCACCAATCTTTTTTAACCAAAAGGAGTACCTACCAAAAGTATCTGAATTGTTTATATACGTGGATAAACTATATAAGTTTTCATAAACGGGTGAGGTGAATAAGGTATCAACGATTTCCAAAAATCTTTTTTTTTCACGATTTCAATATTCTCCGAAAAGCGATAGATAATGATTTCCCGTATCCAAAAGACCTTGTAGTAAACCTATCTTGAGCGAAACCCACTTAGTTTAATGGCCAAGTTGAAGTTTTCTCCCCAACCTTTCTCCCCACCCTCGTTATTTTCTTTTCAATATTCCATTAATTAAACAAAGTTCCAAAACAAATACAAAATAGAGAAATACTCAATTACATGCTCTGCTACCAAAACAAGTGAAATGAGTGAGCATCATGAGGCAACTAAACAAAAACAATAGCAATAACAACTACAACAAATTAAATATATGATAAGAAATTGAGATTTGAAAACATCTCATATTCAAAATTAGTTCATTTTAGTAAAGCAACGAGCGAAGTAAAGAACAATTGTCGAAGACGAAAAATTTTCGAAATTTCAAATCGGAAGAGCAGATTGGAAAATATGGGGAAGAATTTCTATGGGATTGCCGGAATGGCAATAATTTTGATGGTGGTAATGGAAAATACCAGGGCGATACCGGTTCAACAGAATTACACCTCTGAGCTGCTGCGTCTGGCCAAGGGTTCCGAAATGCGGGCCTTCCTGAATGAAAACAAGCCACCTTGTCAAAATTTCTATAAATTCGCCTGTGGTCGTTGGGGTCACTTGAATCCGGCCCCGGCCCGCGGCAAAAGTTCCCACCTCGGCCAGCTTTCGGAGTTGTATGGCAAAAAGTGTGCTGAAATGTTGTCGATTGAGAGCAAAAGTGATTCGGGTATTGATCACAAGCTTAAGGACTTCTATCAGTCGTGCCGGGAAACGGGCCAATTGGATGCTGAGGGCCTGGAGCACATTGTTAAGGTGGCCGAGTTCGAGGGTGGCTGGCCCATGGTCTCGAATGTTAATTGGTATGAATCCGGCTATGATTGGTTACGTGTTGTGGCCAATATGCGCCGCAAGCTGGGTGTGGATGTTTTGATTGGCCTGAAGATAGTGCCCGATTTCATGGAAAAGGATATGAACCGGATTATGGTGGGTGCTCCGAAAATGTATTTGGATCGTGATTCATATTTGCAGGAAGATAAGGAAAGTTTGCGTCTGGCCTATACCACGTCGATTGAGAATCAGCTGAGACGCTACTTCCCCGATATGTCCGAAGAGTGGGCTGCCGAGGTCGCCCAACAGGTGTTGGCTGTGGAGAAACGTTTGGCCGAGGGTTTGCCCAACAACAAAGGCCTGACCATGGAACAGACTACCCGCCTACGTTACACGGCCGATTTGAAAACAGCCTATGGCAGTTATGTGGATATCAATCGATATTTGAATTTGATTTTCAACCAATCGATTTATGCCCAGGTCTATGAGTCGCCGGAGGACTACTTCTCGACCCTGATGGATGTTATCAAGACAACACCCAAGCTCACCATTGCCAACTACACCATGTGGAAGGTGTTGGAACAATTCGATTTGCCCAGGGCCAAATTGGCCAAGGATTCCCAGTACTGTGTCAACAGGGTAATGGAATATTTCCCCGATGCCTTGGAGAGCATGTTCCTGCGCAACTACCACACCATGCAAATGATCAATGAACTGCAGTCGGTGTGGAAGGACATAAAAAAGACATTCCGTTCGGAGTTGCAAAGCTCACAACGTCTCACCTGGATTGGGGGTGAGACAAAGCAAAAGGCAAATGAAAAGCTGGAAGCCATGGAGCTACAAATTGCCACCCAAGATTCCCAACATGCCGAGCAGATGCTGAAGTTGTTTATGCGCCGTACCAACTACTATCAAAATCTCATTGCCATTTGGCACTGGAAGACTGGGCTAAATTTGGCACAACTCTATGAGAAGCCCCAGGACCCGCCCACCAAATACACCCTGCCGCACTATGACTATGAGACGAATAAAATCAGCATCCCTGTGGAATTCTTGCAGGTTCGTTTTCTTTGGGATCCCTCCTATCCCCATTCCATACTCTATGGCACTCTGGGCTATCTGTTGGCTCAACAAATGCTCAAGGGTTTCGATTCACAGGGACGGAAATATGACAAACATGGCTATGCCAAGTCATGGTGGGATATTGTGTCCGAAAAAGAATTCGATAATCGGGCCCAATGGTTCCTCGAACAATACAAGGAGTATAAATTCCCCAAATGGATTCAAACCGAAGATAAAAAACTGATCAACACCTATGTGGCGGATAATGGAGCACTGATTATGGCCTACAAAGCCTATCAACAGTGGTGGAAGAATAAAGCCAACAGTGATTTGGCCGAACAAGAACAGTTGCCGTTAATGGAGAAATATGGTCAGAATCAGTTGTTCTTTATTGCCTTTGCCCAGACATGGTGTGCTGATTATTCCGAAGATATTGCGGAATTTGATGATTTGCCCGAGATGTGGCGTGTCATAGGAGCCTTGGCGAATTTCAATGATTTTTCGCGAGAATTCCAATGTGAATTGGGCAATAAAATGAATCCCGAACAGAAACGGTTTTTGTATTAGAGAAGGAGAGAGAGAGAGAGAGAAGGGAGAGATGGCGATATGGAGAGAGAGAGCAACATCCTTCATATTTTTATTTTTGGTGAAAATAAAACCGGTGAAAAAAATTAAATTTAAAAAGTCCAAATTAAAAAAAAATTAAACTAAAAATTGAAATTTAAATAATTTAAATTAAAAAAAAAATAAATTGAATACATTTAAATTAAAAAAAATTAAATTTTAAGGATTTAATTTTAATAAAATTTAATTAAAAAGAATTAAAATTAAAAAAAAGAATTGAAATTTTAAAAAATGTAAATTGAAAAAATATTAAACGTAAAAAAGGTAATTATGTAAATTTATATCGTGTGGTATTTTCAAAATCAAACCACAATTAAAAGTAAATAAATAAAAATTCTCTTCAATAAAATAAATGAATTTGAAATTTTTTAAATTTATTCTTTTTTCTAATTTAATTTTTTTAAATTTAATTTTGTAATATAAATTTTTTAGATTCAGATTTTTTAAATTTTAATTTTTTTGAAATTTTTCTAAATTTTAATTTTTGGTGAAAAAAAATAATTAAATTTAAACAATTTAAATTAAAAAAAAAATAAATTTAACAGATTTAAATTAAAAAAAATTAAATTTAAAAGATTCAATTTTAATAAAATTTAATTTAAAAAATTTAAATTTAAAGAATGTAAATTTAAAGAATTAAAATTTAAAAAATTTAAATAGAAAAAAATATTAAACGTAAAAAATGTAAATTTAAAGAATTGAAATTTAAAAAATGTAAATTGAAAAAATATTAAACGTAAAAATGTAATTATGAAAATTTACATCGTGTGGTATTTTTAAAATCAAACCACAGTTAAGAAAAATAAATAAAAATTCTCTTCAATAAAATAAATGAATTTAAAATTTTTTAAATTTAATTTTTTTAATTTAATTTTTTTTAATTTAATTTTTTTTAATTTAATTTTTTTAAATTTATTTATTTTTTAATTTAATTTTGTAATAAGAATTTTTTGAAATCAGATTTTTTAAATTTTATTTTTTTGAAATTTTTTTAAATTTTAATTTTTGGTGAAAATAAAACGGGTGAAAAAAATTAAATTTAAGAAGTCCAAATCAAAAAAAAAAATTAAAAAATTTAAATTTAAAAAGTGTAAATTTAAAGAATTGAAATTTAAAAAAATGTAAATTGAAAAAAATATTAAACGTAAAAAATGTAATTATGTAAATTTACATCGTGTGGTATTTTTAAAATCAAACCACAATTAAGAAAAATAATTAAAAATTCTCTTCAATAAAATAAATGAATTTAATTTTTTTTTAATTTAATTTTTTTTAATTATTTTTTTTAATTTATTTTTTTTTTAATTTAATTTTTTTTAATTTAATTTTTTAAAATAAATCTATTAAATTCAAATTTTTTAAATTTTAATTTTTAACTTTTAACATTTCAAATTTTTAAAAATTTAAACTTTAAGAATTTAAATTAAAAAAATGAAATTTAAAACATTTAAAAAAATCATACCCATGTCACTAACCTGCCTTTCTGTTACTTTTTTCAACAAAAAAAAAAATTGAATCAAAATAAATAAAAAAAATAACAATAAAAACGAAAACTGAATTTAAATGCAAAACATATGAAAAAGACCTCCAGCTATGATGAACTTAATCTATTCATGTTGAACAATACTTTGTATTATGTAAAGAAGGCTTAATGCCTTTGGTTTTATGTGTTCTATTTTTCCCCTTTACTTTTTTCTTCAATGAATTCCAAAAAAAAAAATAATTTGTTTAAATTATGTTAATGCTCTGGTTTGTTTTTTTATTTTCTGTTTTGTATTTTTTTTTTTCAATAAAATGTGAATATTTTGATTTTTTTTAAACATAAGTTGTGTATTATTTTATAAATTATGGATGATTGTGGGGTTGAGAGATAACCTCGTTTTGACCTGAACTTAAAATAGAGCAAAGCTTGAAGGGGTGGGTTGTCATATGTTCTAGAAATAGTTTTTTTTTTGTTCGTGGTAACAATTTTCCTAATGAAAGACAGGGTTATACAGGGTGAGATAAAAAAAACTGCAACAAAGTCAAAAGCAATAATTTTGACTTTTTTTTAATTTTAGTGAATGAAAGCAAAAAATGTCGGAAATAGCCTCAAGTTTCACAATAAGTTTAAATTTGTACGAATTGGTCATGTTTGGCACGAATTATGGCCTTCCAACGGCCAATGAAAGCGTCACACGCTGCCAATAAAAAAAAAGTCGCATCCGGGCAACGTGTTTCGGTTTCATTGGCCGTTTAAAGGCCATAATTCGTGCCAAAGATGACCAATTCGAACAAATCTAAACTCTGCGGTATTTTGGCCCATTCCCGGCGAAACGCTTGCTGGATGTGATCGACACTTTGGTATTTTTTTGTGCCAACCTTGCTTTCCAAAACACTCCAGACACAATAGTCCAACGGATTGTTATCCGGAGATTTTGGTGGCTATTGTACGCTGGAAAAGAAGCGAGGAACCTCATTTTATAACCAATCTTGGGTGGCGCGTGCTGAGTGCGATGGTGCTGAGTCCTGTTGAAAAATCCAAGGTCTGCGACCAAAATGTTTGTGTGCCCAAGGCTTTAATACACCCTCCAGAATATTTTCGCGATAATATTCGGCATTTATTCTGATGCCACGGTCGATTAATACGAGCGGAGAGTGACCATCGGCTGTTATGGCGGCGCACACAATCACCATAGCCGGCGCTTGGGTTCTGGTGGCCAACCGAAGATGTGCACATTTTCAGCTGACCTCTTTGGCCACTAAATACGATCATTTTGTTTCTTTACAAACTGCTGGACAACGAATGTTTTCTCATCGGAGAGAAGTTCGGCAGTTCACCACTTTCGGCCAAGCGAAGCAACTCTTTAGCTCTTTTCTTTCTGTTGCGGTGTAAGTTCTTGCACCTTTTGGAATTTCAATGCCTTTACCCCGTGGTCGTTTTCAATATTTGCCGAATGGAATATTGCGATATGTTCAGCTCACGAACCATTTTTCGGCCACTGCTACGCGGGTTTCGATCAAGTCGCTTCTTTTCTACTTTTCGAACCATTTCTGCTGATGTTGCTGTTTCCTTTCGTCCACTTCCTTGACGTCGGGCTAACGAGCCATGTTACGAGACACAAAATATTTATCCACATTTAAATGCTGGAGTGCTCTAACAATAGCCACTTGTGGTTGTCCAGCCAAATATAAAGAAATCACACTATCACGCTTGAATTCCATCACGAATAACTTTTTTTCTGGAAAATTCTCAGCAGAATGCTTTTGTACGCTTGTAAACAATATAATGAGCTGTCACTGCAATAATTTTAACAGCTGTCGGATGAGTGGTTTAGAAAGGACACCAGTCTAAAGTTGGTTGCAGTTTTTTCTGTATTTGTGTTGATATATCCAGTTCCGAAGATATTGCTCAAAGGCCGGCTTCTTACAAATGTTATAGAATTTAGAAAAAAACTATGAATCACGTAGCCGGTGCTGCTCTCAAACCTCAATACCAAAGGTCCTGCCGTTAAACATCGAAATTAGTAAAACCTCTATTTTTTTTGTTTTGAAAATTGTTTCGAGGTCGGTATTTTTACCACTATTCCGGAAAAGTAATTTTTTTGACGGATCCGGATATTTGACCCGAAAGAACCGGTTTTGACCCGGATCTTCGAAACTAATATTTACAATATTGATATCATTTGAACGCTATTAAAAATACCTTTCCAACAAGTGGTTGCTGGATGGAGTTATTGGAAGTTATATCAAATTCGGCTCGGGAGTTATATCGAATCATACATTTTCGGATCCGGATTTTCTTAAAAAGAATCCCCAGAAGTCATCATTTTGTTAGACGCGAAAAAAACTCTGTTAAATCTCAAGCCACAGCTAACTAAAACAGCAACAAATTTAGAAAAACCGTGGCAGAATTGGATTGTCCTGGTTCCTGGGTTGTCCCATATCTCTGGATCCAAAACATCGATAATCTGGATATAACTTCCCAATCGTGTTAAATGATGCCCGCCATGTGATATTTTTATTAGCTTTCGATTGATACCTATATTGTCCGTAGATTCATGTCTTTAAGGCGGGCTCTCTGGTCAAACATTCGGGTAACCGGGTCGTCCTCGCCCCAGGAAAAAAATACTTTCCCGAAATTAGAGTACAAATACCTTCCTCTAATAATTTCAAAAAAATCCCGGAGATTTTACTAAACTATAGTTGTTCCGCACATTTTGAAAAAGGTATCAATAGACCCCTTCTCTGCCTCTTTTGAAGGTTAATATTTCTTACAAAAATAGTTTTTCCGGAGATAGTTTATACCTAAAATGCAAGCAATCTTAAGCCGAAAATTTAAAAAAATGTGGAAAGGC